GGGGACAGGCTACTGACGTCAATGACATGGCGAAGAATTGGAGTGGCTTGTATTTCTCTTGAGGCAAGAGATGAGTGGCTTCCATGACTTGTTGAGACTGAACCCTGTTTCCTTGTTCATGTTGTTCGGATGGAGCTCAATCTCAACGGCCTCCAGGATTATGCGATCTAGATAACGGCTCTTACTGGTGATTATGGCCGTTTTGTGAAACTCGATACGGTGGTCTAGATCGATGCTGTGTTCAGCTACGGCTGACTTGTCCGGATGTTCTAATCGTATATGCCGTTGATGTTCTTTCAACCTCGTGTCCACAGAACGGCCCGTCTGCCCGATGTAGACCTTGCCGCACTCACATGGAATTCTGTAAATTCCCGGTGTCCTCAGTCCCAGGTGATCTTTGACAGGCCGGAGGAAATTAGATATTTTCTTTGGGGGCAGGCCAACTGATTTGATGTTATGTCGGGACAGTATTCTGCTGATCCTGTTGAATATAGCTCTGAAGATGGAGGCGCTATGTTCCTCCGAAACGTCAGCCAAAACGAAGAATACACGGTGCCTAAACCCAGAAGACAACTTTCTTCATTGTCATCGCCGTGAAAACCTCAAAACTTACTTAGACAGAAGGTATAGATCATGTGAAAACCTGTTCTTTCCTCCAAGCATTGGTATGTCACATTTCACAGAATATCTGTATCAAGCCAGTCTCTTCATTTTTGGTAGTTCTAACACAAGTTTCCTGAGCTGATCTAATGGTCTTGTGGGATGTAAAGGATTAAGAAATAAGAAATGTGATTTGAAGGAGAGCTTGAAAATATGTAGCGGGACCATTACTTAATTAAGCCAGGCTGCAACATAAAGCTTTGTATATGTTGCAGTGCACATTATCCAGGCTCAGAAGTGCTGCTGCAGTCTTGTTTAATCGTGAGGAAATTTTGTTTGGTTATGGTACACATTTAGTTAGATGCCGCTGTTACTCTATTTACTTGCAGGAAACTTGCTATGGCACCATGGCCTATTTCAGCTTCATTCTGCTTAGACAGATTTTGCACAGGTCTCTTCTCAGAGTTCCCGTTATAATTATTCGAAAGATATCACTGATTAGCTGTGTCACGTGCAATGCACCCTTTTAAAACTTATTTGAAAGTTTCTTTTACCACACTGTCCTTTTTAAACCTTATTTAAAAGTTTCTGTACATTGCGCTACATGTTTCGACCGACATTTGTCATCATCAGGTATTTAGAATTATTGGTAAAAACTGCTGTTTTTTCATTTTGTGGTTCTGATATGTGCTGTGTAGTCCCATCTATGCCCTCGTGTATTCCATGGTGCTGGGTGTCTAGAACTTTCTCTGATTTTCATAGTCATATTCATGTGTCAGGACTAGACAGGTTGGTCTAGAGGTGAGACTCTACACTAGTATTCAGAAGGTGTGTAGTTCATATCTCAACTAGGACACTGGCTATCCTGACTGAGGTTTTCAGGGGTTTCCCCAGTCCGTCCATGAAATTTCCAGGATAATACCTTGGTTAGGCCATGAGCATTTCCTTCCATATCCCTTCCAGTTTATTGTTGATCAATCCTGCCATTCAGTGCTGTATTTGCTAGCTACTGAAAGTGCCATAACTGTAAGAAGTACATAGGTCAGGCCTATTTGTGATCTGTTCCATCCTGGTGTGTATATTGAGTTTGCCATCTTGATAGTGAGCATATGTTAAAATTTGTCTAGGGATATATTGTATTTCCATGTAATGGCATTCTTTCCCTTGTAACCTGCTTTTTCTAAATATTATTAAGGTTAAAATTCGTCTTTAATTTTAAAATTCATAATTGATATTTGTAAAATCTGTTATATATTTTAAAAGCATCTTGGTGATATGTTTTTATACCCTTTCTGATACATTTCATATTCCTATAGGTATGGTCATAGCTTTATACAACTTCATTTGTATGTCATGTCTCACCCCAGAAATCCTCAGTCTGAATCATACATTACATCCAAATGTAGGTAAGTGCAGAAACCCTTGCTTATCTGGTTACAGTGAATCCAGATGTTAAATAATCTGGATTGAAATGTGAAAAATGAAAAATTATGTTCACAGTTGAGTACACAGTTTAAAAGATGCATGGGATTTAGGAGCAAGAAGGTTTAGAGCAAGAGGATTTCCAGACTGTTGAGGGCAGCTGGAAAGACTGAAACCATATAAGAAAATATCCAATATTCGCTTTAGCTGGATGAAGGAGACCCTGGATATTGCTTCTGACAGAAGAATAAATTTCTGCAGTGATACTTTTTTATTTATTTTCATCAGCACTACATATATTACTAAATTTTCCATTTATTTGTTTTCTAATTTTCTTTTTTTGGTTTTGTAGCAGTAAATTTTTCTTCATTCTGGATTATTGCTCAATTCGGCTGACATCTCTACCCCATTTAATCTGGATTAGCAAGGGTTTATTGTATCACTATCTTGAACTGAATTTCTGTGAAAAGTGATATCTTACATCTGTGTTGCCAATTGTATTGATAGCCATGCAGCTATACGTATTAGTGTCTCTAGCTATTGGACAGAAGCATTACTCAGTGTGGTGAATGGTTTGCTTTTTCAAACACTGTTGCAAACCTGATGATTGCCAAAAATAATTTCATACAGTTACTGACTTTCTGAAGATGCTCTGTCATACAATATTTTTTATCTAAAACAACATTTAAAAGACTGGCCTCTGCCTCCATCCTCAGCTAGAAAGCCTACTCAGTTGGGTGCAATGAACAGAGCTGGTTCCTATCTCCTCATTGGTGATAGGGACTAGCTCTAGTGATTGGGCCAAACTGAGTACACATGTTACTGAAGGACACGGGCAAGAGTTCAGTCTCTGAAACATTGTTTTAAATAAAAAAAAAAATTTGGACAATGGAGAACGTCCATGACTGTATTAATGTACCATCACGAATTGTAAAAGTTTTACGAATTTGATGTTTGCCAGTGCTTTGAAAATGAAAGAAGACACTCCTGAAATTGTGGGATTTGTATGATTTCAAGTGGAACTCATTCACAAGTTTGGTCAGGCCATGGTAATTCACCAGTTCCAGCGATAGTCCAGAGAAGTCTTTGCAAAATCGATCAACTGGCTGGTGAATCAGTGCGATGTGGGTCTGATTGCCCTTGGGGACTATTTCTATTGGCCTCTACTTGTTTGTACAGAACAGTTTCCAAGCAATTTTCATTTGAACAGTTTTCATACTAATAATTCCTATGTTCAGTGTAAATATTGCTGGAATTGACAATTTCTTTATATCCATACATTGTGTTATATGTTCAGTATGAACATATACGCGTATATATAAAATGCACGTATAGATGGGTTGTCATAACAGGGTGAACTATAGTGTTTATTGACCAAGAAGGCCTATAATACTCAATATATTAAAGAAAACAGGCTACTAATATGTGAGACAATCAATTGGATTACAAGAATGTACATTGTTAATCCTAGAACTGATACATATATATATGCTGAATATTAATATAATTTTTCCTAATATACACTAATAGCAAGGAGAGTCTCTTAGCTATTTTGACTGTCTGAGTATAAGTTATGTAACCCTTATAAACAGGGTTTTCATCTTGGTGGGGAATGAATATAAAAGTCGAGAAAGTATGTTACAAAATATTTAACTATTTTTATGTTGTTAAAACATGTTATCTCATGACCAAGTGAAGTGGTGTCACGAGTGAGAGCACTATTAAATATATTTACATGTCATGATAAGGGTAATTCAGACTGTCCACTTGTTTCTTATGGGTACACCACTCATGTTACTTCGGAAAGTTATAACAATTTTGAAATGTTTGTGCCCATGTTGATAGGAACCCAGACATCAGTAACCTATATTAATATGTCCAGTGATCATAAAATGATAATTACACCAAGCCAAGGAGAAATCTTTATATTTTCCCCATATTGATGCTGGATAAGGGACAGTTGTGTTCTCAGACAAGTGCAGTAACAGCAATACTTAATACTCTGAGCTTGTCACATGTTCAGTTGTCTGCTTACGCATCAGCACCTAGAGGTTGGATGTAATGACTCCTGTGTTCTGGAATGTGATGTCATGTGAGCAGAGCAGTGTACTTCAGTCTGCTTGCTCTCAGAGCTGCAACTGTGTAGGTGGAGGCAGTGTAGGTGACTCTCATATACACTTCTCTTATCCAACCTTCCACATACCTGCAGTTTTATTTCAGTGTCAGGAG